CCCTAACCCTAACCCTAACCCTAACCCTAACCCTAACCCTAACCCTAACCCTAACCCTAACCCTAACCCTAACCCTAACCCTAACCCTAAGGTGTGCTGAATGATTGGATTGCCGCTTGATGGTGTGAGACTTGTATTGCCGTCAGCTCTTCTTGCTACTTGCTGGGGCAGACAGCAAGGGGGACTCGCAGTTTTGGAAATTCCTTAGCAGGGGATTGGCGAGTCCCCCTTTGGCGTGTCTTGCCAAATTCTCCTCCACACTCCTTTTTGAAATTTCTGCGCGTGTCCATGACCATCAAGTCTGAACCAGCGTGAGGATCTTGTAGCTGTGCGCACCAACATTGATCAAGCCAAGGTACGGCCCTTGACTATCGAGTGGAATGACATGGCATGAATAGCCCATGCGTACTAGCCGCAAATGGGCAAACGCAACATCAAAGGCTCCAGCAATGCCGTGCAAAAGCAGCATCTCTTCTGGAAGTGTCAACTCGGCACCTTCTTCTGCAAGCCGCTCAAGAAGTGCATCTGCAGCTGGCCGGCTGGCTGTGCCAAGATGGTTGGTCACTGCCGCTGGATAGTCACGCAACCAATCCAGTGCCTCGTCTTGAATCTCTGCTGGAGATTGCTCACCGTGTTCTTGCTCCAGCATCCTGGACACGCACTGCAGAAGCAAGTGTTCCACAGTTGCGTATATGTTTGAACGTTTGAGACCACGCAGATCCTGCCTTGTGCTGAGATTCCGCAAGAGCACACCCTCAGGTTGCGGACGGAACGCAAGCTCCAACACGTTGGCAACCAGCGCATCCAGGTTGACGGTGAGATGACCGCCCTCCGCCTCTCTTGCAATGTGAGCACGGAAGCGCTGCTTGCTGAGCGCATGCTGGCAGTCCTGGCGGTTGCACCGCACTCGGAATGCATCTGCCCTGCCAGTGCGCTGATAGGTGCCACGCTGGCGGCATGCTTGACACCGCAAGTGGATCTGGAGGTGCGAGAAGAGCTCTCGTGCTTGCGCTGCAGTCTGGAAGCGCTCCAGCTGCTGTTCCAAGGCGGTGGCGGCCTGGCTCTGCTTCCACCACGCATTCCGGCTGTCCAGTGGTGTTGGCTTGCGTCCTGGATTCCAACCAATGGCATTGTACAGATCAGTCACTGCCTGCCGCTGCACTAGTGTTGACGGCTTGGCTCCCTCTCCAGAGAAGAGCCGTTTCTCTTCCGCAATGGTAAGCATGGCATCCACGTTGGTATACACTGCGTTCCTTGAGAACGTGTGTGTGATGAGCTGCTTGTCTCCAGCGTCTTCTGAGAAGAGGAACTGCGCATCCAGGTATCGGCTGGCCTCTGCTGCTTCCTGTGCTTGCGCAAGTGTTGCTGCCTGCACAGTCAACTCGAGCCGTATTCCTTGTCCCAGCGTTGGTGCTGCTTGTTGGATGCGTTGCTTCCAGGACTGCAAAGCTGTGATGCGGTTTTTGACCACTCCAACCAACATTGGCTGAAACCCTTTGCCGGCACCTGCAGCACTGGCTTTGAGCAAGTGCGTGAGCTTGGAGTACGCTTTGAAATGGGACAGTCCGTCCTCCCGCCGGCTCCACTTCAGCTCCACACCGCCATAGCCCCGGCCCACTTGCATTGCCAGCGGATACTGTTTGTAGCGGCCTCTGCGTGTTCTTGGAGCTAGAACCGTCAAACTCCTTGTGTAGACTGTGCGCCCAATGTCATACAGGTTGGTGTGCTGTAGCGGGTGAGGCTCCACCTCTGCTGGATCAACAAAGCGCTCGATCGGCACCTTGATGCCAAATGCAGACATGCGTATGCTCTCGCAGCCAATGTCTTGCAATGCCTCCACCATGATGGCCACATCCACCCGCAGCTCTCCGTACGTAAGAGTGGTTGCATTTGGAGATGGCAGAAGCGTTGCAAGTTGCGGTGGCTGGGAAAGACGGTCTACCAACGGAAGCTTGTACTCTGGAGCAAA